AATAGGATTATAGAAAGATTATCTAAGGTCAGGTTTATACGTATAAAACAATTTTAAATATAAAATTGAAGGATCAAAGAAGCGCGAGAAAATACAAAATACTTATATAATCATATGTACATGCTCCCAGTCATCGATCTTGTTTTTACCAATGTTCAAAATGGTCAACTTCTTTAAATCGCTTATATTTTGTATGATTGAGATCTCGTTATTATATAAAAGCAAAATTTCTAGCTGATGTAGATTATTCAAGTTTTCCATAATTTTGATGCGATTAAACGAAAGATTCAGTTCCTTCAAGTGGCGAAGCTCGTCCAGATTTTCGATTCTCTGGATAGCATTATGAGACAGTGACAGTTTAACTAGACTTTTCAACAACCAGAGGTAATCGATATTTAAAATCTCTGTAAAACGATGGATATAAAGCATTAGTCTTAGTCGTAAAATAGCGTTTAAGGGCCGTGCATTCATTTTCTATAATGTATCATATATTCACACAAACTTGCACAGCCGCATAAACAAGCATTAAGAAAATTATCCAATCATTTCTCTTATAAAGTCGAACGTAAAATGTGATTAGGTAATTTTCTTTAAGCATTCGTTTATGCGGCTGAGTAAGTTTGTATAGATGTACCCTAAGAGTTAGCTTACCAATCAGAGCTAAAGGTTTTTGAAAATTCTTGACTGTGATTGGCTAATATGATTATTGTTACAGAAAGTGTGTGCGCGGCCCTTTATGCATGGTCTACAATGGCAATAGTAGCAGTGGATAAATCTGTAAATGCGTCATCTACAATACACGGAGTAAGAAGTTGAAAGAAGTAAGAAATTGACCAATCAGTCGATTACTGTTCTCACATTCGACTGTGATTGGTCAATTTTTTACTCTAATGTATCGTTTATAATACATGGAGTAAGGAGTAAGAATAAGAAATTGACCAATCGCAGTCGAATGCAAGAAGAATAATTGACTATAATTGGTTATTATCAATTTCTTATAGGCCTTCTACAATAAGCTATTAGTCATAAATCAGAAGTCAGAAGCTAAAAATTGATAAACTGTGATTGATCAATTTTTAATTTCTGACTTCTGATTCATGGCTTATTGTAGAAAGCTCTTACTCTTCTTACTCCATGTATTATAGACGACGCATTACAGCCTCACCAACTATTGTCATTGGGTGCTTTCCAGCAAGAAACACAAATGACACAATGTAATCATTACATCCTTGTTGTTTGCTAATATTAAGTGAAGATGATATGACATCAGGCGAAGATGACATCAGGCCATGTAAATGT